TATACATATGCATATGGTAGTTTATTTTGCTGTAAAAACTGCATTGATAAATGTGGCTTTAAACAGAATTATTATACTTTTGGAGTATAGCCTGATTGGGTACTGAAAAAAAGTAAATACCAGAAAATCTGCCTGCGCAGGATTTTCATTGAGTTTAAAGGTAAACGCTTCAAGGACTTACCTGAATAGAGTGCTAAAATCAGCACTGCAAACCGCAAAAAGAGTCTAACTACGTATTCGATGTTCTGCATTTTAATCTTCTAATAGAATTAAATTTTTGTTTTGTTTAACAGTGTTGCGATGGCTCCGTTAAACTAATTTACTTCTGATGTTTATGCAATTCTATGTAACCCACAATTTACCTAAATTTTTTCCAATGAAAGCTGCTTATGTATGCAGCTCTCATCTATTGTTTGTGTGAGCAGCGAGTAGCTGTGACTGAGGCGCCTACAAGTATGCAATGAATTTTTTGAATATCACCTAAAGCGAATGAGGAACATGGCGTACATATTTAGGAGACTTTTGTAATTCCATGGAGTCTGAGCTCTTTTATTTCCTTTAAATGCATCATGCGTCCCAACGACTCGGCAAACAATAGCCAATGATTGGTTTGTTGGTCAACAATGTTATGCAAAAGCTAATCCAATTGTGTTGCTAATTAGCAGCTGCAACACGCGTGACACGCAGCGCAACAACAGATTGCCCTGAAAAAGCATTCTCAATTTTTTTTTTTTTTTTATAAACATTTATTTTATGCAAAAACTTGTACATAATTTAATTTGATTTTGTTACAGTTGCGTATATATTTATATACATATATCTGTTATATGTATTTATTTATTAATTATTTGAACATGTGTGAATAGAATTGCAAGAATTCAGTGAATCTGCAATGCGTATGATTTCTGATGTTATTATGTTGAACGAATGAATATTATTTGCAATAGATGTTACCCATTAACATTAATGCATTGGAGCAATGCAAGTGCTTTAGCTTATTCCTATGCACTACATGATTACATACATCATAACGTATAGTAGTGGCTGTATTTACTTTACTCACAATCATCAATTTTATTGAATTTCGACATTCCAATGAGCGATTATGAATTTTAATTAGGCAGCACACCAAAAGATTGGATAATTCTGGCGGTGCGCATTGCTACGATTGCACGATTGCCGTTACTAGCATAAATATACATATTATAGTAATTGGATAGTTTTATCATTAGAATAGTTTGTTAGTTTGTTTATATATTGAGTATGTCGCTTCACATCTTTTGCATTCTAATTTCATATTGTAGTTGGCTGCTGCTGCCTAACATTGCGATTCAATTTTAGTTTTCTTTTCAGTTTTTCTTTTGCTTTTGATTAGTGCCGTTATAAAAATAAGTTTACATTTAACTTAGTCGCAATATGTTTGAAAGGCACACTAATTACATATTTGTTTCAATTTATAGTTTATCATTTAGCTGCATTAAGGAAAATTCTTTAATTTAAAATAAAATGTAGCCGTTTTTCTTTTGTACCATAATTTAAATGCAATTTCCTTTTTACTTTTTTTATAGTTTTTATTTTTTTCTTTTTTAACGATATGCTTTCTATCGCATATTTGCTATGATTGTTAGCTGCTAATGGGTTGAACGTGTTAAAAGAGTTTCTCTATCAAAGCAAGAATATTTCTTAAACAAAATTATTTGTATATTAATTTAACACTTCATAACTGCTAGCATTCACTTTAAATTAAAGAATTCCGTTATTATATATTTGTTTTTATATATGTTCAAAAATGGTTTAACTATTCAAAATTGTTTTTATATATTTTTTTATTTTTGTTTATGTTTTTTTTTATGTATAATACATTGTGCTTGAGCTCAATATTAACATTAAGTTAAAATTATTTATTTATTAATTGTACATTATTAATGCATGATATTCGTTATTCATTAACTAAATATGGCTGTTACTTGTAGTTTGTATTATCATTTGCTTTAATTATTAATTTTAATAAGCTCACGCGCTTCGCTTTAGCTACATACTTAAAAATGATGTGTATGTGTTTGTATATATTTATATTTATATATATTTATATATATATATGCATGTTGTATATGGTAACATAATCATAATCGAAATACTTCATTAACAATGAATTTGCGTCAATTTAACAAAAAAATTAATTGTATATATTTTGTTATAAACATAAACATAAGCTGCGCAAACAACAATCTATTTGCTGCCTATACAATGAGTAGACGAGGTGCGTATGTCTATATGTATAAAGTTGTGTGTGTGTATGTGTGTTTTCATTATTACACAGATAAAACAATTTTCGTGTAGTCTAAATAATATATGTATATAAAATAGATTCTTCATCGCATTGTTCAAAAAAATTTAATATGATAAATTGTTTTTCTTTTTTTTTTAGCAGATGAGATTCTTTAAATGATATTCTTTATGTTTGATTTTTTTCCTCTAATGGCATTTAAACAAATGCATATTGTTTAATGCATAAATTATTTGCAGTTGAATTAAGTATTTTTTGTTAGATTTTTTTGTTTTTTGCTTTTGTTCGCTGCTCTTTTCATTATGTACTACAACTTATAAGTGGTTAATAGATATTATTTATATGCGTTTTTGTTTTTTTCATCTTCTTTAATTTAAACTATAAAACTATGCTTGATTTATTATTGTAATTGTTTGTTTGTTTGTTTTTTGTTTTGTTTTACTGGCTGGCAAAACGCAAACAGAAATGGCCACAAAATTCAATACATTGCTTTGCTTCTTCTTCAGGTTGTTGTTGTTGTTGTTGCTGTTATTGGATGTTGTTGCTATTGTTCTTGTTGTTGTTGTTGTTGGATGTTTTCGGTTGCAGTTACTGCTGTTGCATACAGATGAGTGTTGATGCAGGCACAAGCAACAGGCCACAGACGCTGAATGTATTTGGATGCAGCATGTGGCGTGTCTGTAAGTGTGTGTGTGTGTGTGTGTGAATATGTGTGCGTGTCTCTGTGTGTGTGTATTAGTATTTGTCAGTGACAAGAGTTGCTGCACTACTTGCAATTAGCATATCACATTCCATATACAACATGGCACACAACGCCGCCCACACAGCTTCCTGCCGCGACTGCTGCTCCTTGTTGTTGTTGTTGTTGCTGCTGCTGCATTCATCTCACTCGCACACTCGCACTGGCTGCGGCTATATCACAATGGCAATTGCATCTAACCAAAACGAGGACGGCGCAGACGGCAGGTGAAGGCGTTGCTTTTTTTTTTATTAGCAAATTTGGTAGTTGTATTTTTTTTAATGTGTTTTTGGTGGATTTGTTATAGGTTTTGTTTTTTTTTTTTTATTTATAAATATAGATGTATTGTTTTTTTTTTTTTTTTTTTTTTTTTTTTTTTTTTTTTTT